ACTATTTTATTTTATGAGGAAAGTATAAATGCTCGACCACCACCACCTAAATTTTATCACACAGACCCGTGGGGGCAAAGCACCCCCACACCACAGTTCTACAACGATAATATACTCTGTTGTGTTAATATCAGAAATATAATAAAATTATTATAAAATTAGTATAATTAATAGTATTAGACATTAGTTGACCATATTGATTTTTTTTTTTTATTAGGGTTAAGGCTTCGACAACTTAGGTCATTAGCCTGTGGTACTATAGGGGAGGGTACTGTAGATTTGTTACACGTGTGTGTTTGTTTTGTCAGAATTTTTTATTCGGGGCACCCGTAGGTATTCGGCATGCCCGGGTGGGAGATGGCGGCACTTATTCACCGTGACTTGCCCAAAGAAAATTGCCGCCCGTGACCAAGGAATCGAGCTGACACCGGCTGCGTCGCGACCTATGCCTTAGACCACTCAGCCACTCCGTCCCCTTGACCATATTTCATAGGTGGTTTTTAATATCCGTACCCGGGGGGGGGGTACCACCACCTAATTGGTCGTGAGGCAATTGCCTCATGAAACACCCTACCACGCCGCCACTGCATAATATTATATAAAAGGTTGCATTTTGTTTATATTTTTGGTACTTTGGGGGGTTAGTAAAAATTTTCCTGTAGTTTTCAAAAGAAAAATTAAGGAAAAACGGGAATTTGTACTCAAATGTAAATCAATCTGTACCAACGTCGGTTTTATCATTATAATTTATTATTTTAAATTGTGATTATTTATTGTCGAAGAAGAATCCTTAAAAAGCCCGGTCCAACCCTAGATTTATTATTCGAAGCCAAGCCCGGCCCGAAAAATTATTCAAAAAAAAGCCCAGGCCCGGTCCGGAATAAAACTCCAAGACTTAAAAAGCTCGGTCCAACCCTTTGTTTTAAATTCACGGCCCGGTCCAATGCCACTTCGGACAGGGCTTTTTAAGGACTTTTGCAGGTCTCTACGGTACAGTAGAGCGACACCTACTTGACCATCTTTATTTTAGTATTAATTGCTACATTATGTTGAAATTTCAAGTGTCTTAATGAGTTTTTGAATTTTGGGGTAATGATACTTAAATTTAAGCAGTTTTACCAACTATTCAATATATAATATATATATATATATATTGTAAATGAAATTGATAGTAGCTATTTAAAAATATAAACATTTTTTGCATTCAGTTACAATAGTACTTAACAACTTAACAAAAAAGATTTTCTTTAAATAAAAATAACGTAGGTAGGTACTAGGTCGTATTGTAAAACACACAATTATGGTGATCAATCAAATTTAAAGAAAATCATTTTTGTAAATTACATTGAAACTGAATGCAAAAAAATGTTTATATATTTTTAATATAGAATAAATAAGATATAGATTGAATAACGGCCAACGGGCACTTTACAATTTACATGTAAGCTGTGGTTGTAGTTACGGACGTAACGAAAATTCGTTACTTGTAATCTGTGACTATTACCCCTTAAATTTAATATCGCTGATAAAAAAAAGAAATTCGTTTTACCACAGAATATTTATAATTTATTCTGTGGTTTTACCAAACCGATCACTTTGATTACAAACCGGTTACTTAATTACCAAAATTCAATTTCACAAAACAAATTTAATAAATACATCACACTAGCTATTATCATTTATCAGTTATGAAAGAAAGTGTTAAGTGGCCGCTGCTTTAACCGTGTTATTATTATATAATTCTTATATTATCCATGATATAACTTAGTTATATCATGATATTATCTATGATTAAAGCCTTTACACTTTTTTCATTTTTGTTACATTTCATGTTCATTATCTGTGGCCTACTGCTATCCTGACTCGAGATACAGCTCCTCAAAATATTGGTGGTTTTATTATTTTAATAGAAGGTTCCCTACAAGTTTCACTACCTCTATCAAAAATAAAAAGCTCAGTGGAATGTTACGCTATTTATAGCAATGAGATATTTATGATTTTATTAAGTTTTATTTTAAATATTAAATTTGATTATTTATACAAGCAAGTACGCTCGGCTGTAACAACGTCTCCAGTCAGAATCAGTGTCCGAGACCCCGACACGTATTTTTCAAGAAATAAATGAAATTATTTACCAAAATTTACCTACTATATATAGCCCAGTGGTATGCTTTTGGATCCATTACACAATTTTATAATAATAATATTATTTTATACATTTTATTATTTTAATAATACTAACATCCAGGGCCGCATTTAGGGGGGGGGCACTGGGTACAACTGCCCGGGCGCCAGTATTTTAGGGGCGCCAAAATGTTGTGGACAGAAATGTCTTTACTTATGAATTTTTAAAATTGTACCTATATTGTTGTGATTATGTCAATAGACATCAGTTATTTATAATAATACGGGCAATACCAATACGGCGTATTGATTTTATATTACATAGTTTTGTACTTATGATTAAAATAAAGGAAGTTCCAAGACAATGATCTTGAATATTATTCTATATTATAAACATCATTCATTTAAATAGGTAATATTATTTAATTATTTGCTATTAAATGTTGTGTTTATTATAATCATTAATTTTTGTAATTTCTACAAAATTAAGTAAGTAAGAATCAATTAAACTATAGGTATGTAGAGATTCAAAAATAATTAATGTTTAATAACTGGTAAGTTGACAAGTTGTTATGAAACAATTTATGCAGGTCACTTTTTTGGTCACTTTTATAAATAAATTCAGTCACTTTTTTTAAATAGCTTAAACCACTACCAGCCCTGTATATAGTTACATTAATTTTATAAAATACTATATACAATAAAATATAAAATATTTATTTGCATAGTTTTATGTAATTTTGTTTTATTTATCCATGAAGTACCTACTTAAATATGTTTAAAAAAAAAACAACTTAATGATACTAAATTATTAGCAAGGTTTAAGTGACATAAATTCCAATGCATCTTTGCGGAGGGATCAAGCAATTACTAAACAATATTTTTTTAAAAAAGCACTCTTAAACAAATATTCTTTCTTAGTTTCTTTGCTCAAATCTAAAAGGTTAATGAGGATCTACCTCACATATTTTCCGTGGGAGGAGCAATTTTTTTTTCACCAGGCTTGGGGGGCGCCAATTTTTTTTTTGCACCGGGGCGCAAAATGTCTAAATGCGGCACTGCTAACATCATAATATTATCTCAGTCCACGGTAATAATAAAATTATATGATAATTTTAGAATCTATAATTATGTTGAAATATGTACTGTGATGTCTTATCGATATTATATTACTATATATATATCAATCCATATTATGTGATAAATATCTATAAATTTTTTTTTAGATATTTTTTGAGGTTTGGTATTTTTGAGAGGCCCTTTGAATAATTTGCCTCTTGGGCCCTTTAGATCCCAGGCCGACACTGATCAGAATCGTTTTTCGTTCACAATATGATTTATCATTGAATTCAAATACATTTAACGATTTAACACATCCGACATCCATTACAATGACATCAGCATGATCATAATTACAACTTATCCACCTTTTTAACATTTCAATTTTCAGTTGTTCTTTGCCACTATCTCAATTTACCTCAGTTATATGCTTGTAATAATTGAATATTTGAATGTATTAATTCATGCAAATTGGTAATAAATCATCAATTTGAGTAACATTGAATAGATAATTTATTATCATCTTAATCAAAATTTACCAATACAATATTATAAACATAATAATATATTAATATATACATTATTATATATTAGGTATATCGTATATATTTATATGTTAGTGGATGTATACGCGGACTATAATATGAATATAGTTTGTGGTATACTGATATGTATAAATATATTATAATTAATGATACCAGTGCAACACAATTTATAATTATTATAATATAAACATGTATTCATCACTTCATCAGTGAAATATTTACATAATATTCTATAAGTAGGTACGTAATCACTAATCTAGTACATATTCCAATTTCAAAACCTATAATATAGGAATATACAAGTTAAATACTTTCTTATAATAATCATCCTACCAAAATTCGATGTTTTGCATATCATCTGTGACCTGTGGTTCAGTGGTTGTATCACAGAACCATAACGGCATAACGGCTAGATCTAAAAAAAAGTTTTACATTCAATTTCAAAGGACAATTTATGCACTTGTCTCGCTTTTAAATAGATTAATGAAATTAGTTAATGATGTCCAGGTTGATTTGTTTAATTTTCATGCTTTTTATGGTTTTTGTGATTATATTACCCATTATACACATAAGTATTATATTGGGTATATATATTATTTATTATTTAATATTTTTTTTTTATTATATTAAGATATTATTATTTGTATTATTATTCAAGATATTATTATTATTATTATTATTATTATTTTATAATTATATTATTTGTTTTTGTGTTTATATTACTTCCATTACAGTCAACTAAATAGATTTAAGTTTACTAATGTAGTAACTATTAATTTGTGATTGGGTATTTGGGTTCATGTTCATCCCGTTTACATTAAAATAAATAAATTAATTAATTAATAACACTAATATTATCAATTATGGTAATATCAATTGATATTACAGTTTATCAATGATAATAATATAATATTAATAATATCGGAGTAGTTTGATCTACCTTCGTAGTTGTATATAATCGGATAACTTGTATTCGTAGCATTTTACATTCGGAGTAATATGTTCGGAGCATTATAATATCGTGGCAGTGAACTATCGTGGCAGTAGTAGCAACCCGATACTCTATGGGCACGATTATTATTTTCTTTATAATCGTGTCTATGGGATACACCCTGGTTTTTTACTTTTATTATCACAAAACATTTTATCAATATTTTTATCAGTATTCAGTGTAATACTGTAATGATTTTTTAAAGATGTCTAATTCTATGAAAACTAAAACCCAAGTTTTTTAATTATTATTTTCAATTCTGTTTTCCAAATACCCCTAAAATGGATGTACTCAATAAATTTCGCTCTACAGTCACGAGTACTATGTCACAACTGTCTACAGTTCTACCGGGCAATCCAGTTACTAGGGAGTATGAAGCTACCAAACATATTGCAAGTGCTGGTGTTGGTATGTTTTCTTTCATCAATATCATTGTGGACTTGTTACATATTTATTTATTTACTATAATGTTTGGTAATAAGCAATAGATAACTCTTTTTTTTTCAATTAGGATTACTTTGGAAAATATACAGTGGTTATAAAAAGTCAACACAGCAACCTGCATCTATTTTTGTATTAGAAAAGAGACTATTAGATAAATGGTCAAAGACTGAACGAGAACACATAATAGAAGTTGTCAAAAAAGGTGTTGCCCAACTAGCCAGACTCAAACATCCTCAAGTATTAACTGTTCAACATACTTTAGAAGAGTCTAGGTTCATACGATTGCAATGTATTGATTTGAATGTTAAGTTATTTATTAATATAGTCCAACATTTTCAGAGAAAGTTTGGCATTTGCTACAGAACCTGTGTTTTGTAGTCTGGCTAATGTCCTTGGTAAGATGGAAAACACACCTCAGCCAGTGTCAAAAAATCTACAAGATTACAATCTATTTGATATTGATATCAAGTATGGCCTAATGCAACTTGGTCAAGGTCTTGCATTTTTACATAACGATGCTAAGCTACTCCACCACAATTTGTGCCCAGAAAATGTTGTAATTAATGAACAAGGAGCATGGAAAATATTTGGATTTGATTTCTGTTCTCAGAGTATCAATCCAGTAGATCCAAATGTAGGGACTAAACAATTTGGTTGGTTGATGATATTTTTTTATGTATAGATATTTTGTTTATCCAACAGCCCACATGGCCAAGCTGGGAGTATAAAGTAGATGTCCATCCATGGGCACAACCAACTTTAGATTATTTAGCCCCTGAATCGGGTTGTGATCACATCCAAATTAAAGCCAATGACATGTATTCCTTGGGAGTTTTAATTTTTGCCATCTATAATAAAGGAAATGCACCATTACAGTCAAATCATGAATGGTCTATTTATAAACGGAATTTACAAGAAGTATGAAATTAGTTGTTTTTTTTTTTTTTAAATTCTTTGCTAAAATTTAAATTTTATAGATGAAACATAATACACCAAAAATATCAATTGTTGATGCTGGTCTCCGAGATCCAGTAAAATTATTATTGAGTTTTAGACCTGAAGACAGACTTGATGAACATGAATTTTTAAAAGTGAGATATTTATTTTTAATTGAAGCAGGAGTCAACTATTTTAACTATTTTATTTTTACAGATTGAATTTTTTAATGATGTTGGAGTTAAAACATTAAATTATTTAGATTCACTTTTCCAATGGGATAATTTACAGAAATCCCAATTTTATAAAGGTTTACCTCAGATAATGGAAAAATTACCTCACAGAATTTGTCTAAACCGGTATCTACAATTTATATTTAATACTAATGAAACAATATAACATTTATTATTAATATGAAATTTTTTAGGATTCTTCCGTGTCTTGTAAAAGACTGTGTTAATCCTGTTATGATACCCTTTGTTTTGCCAAATATTTTTTATGTCTGTGAAAACTGTACTAAAGATGAGTTTGTTAACCATATTTTACCATGCTTAAAGCCTATAATGAAAGTGCATGAACCAGTTCAAGTATGTATTTTTTCATCATTACTAATTCAGTATTTATTATTTATGTTATAATTTTATAGGTTCCTTTCATATTCCTCCAAAAAATGGAATTATTATTAAAATTAGCACCACTGGAAGATCTCAAATCTGATATATTACCAATGTTATATAAAACATTGGAATTGGATTCAAAACCAGTTCAAGAAACATGTCTATCAGTGATTCCATCATTAGCTACTCTCGTAGAAGGCCCTTCCATGAAAAATGCCTTATTACCGAGGATAAAAAGATTATGTTTGTCAACTTCTGATCTCTCAGTAAGTTAAATTAATCTAAATACAAGGTAGTTCATTGAATGTATGGCACTTGTGCAAAAATTCAATAAATGTGTACATTCTTATGGTAAATCAATTGTCATGTTTATGGTAACACAGCTATATGGTCTACCTAATATGTGAATCTATGAAAAAAAATCCACACGAAAAAAATTCCCAAACCTATACCTTACTATACTGTTGCCTGTTGGGTACAACAGCTGTCAAAAATAATAATTAATAATAAAAAAAATATATACAATTTGAATGATTATTATTATAATATTCATAAATAGATATATATTATATTATATGATATTGCTATATAAATATTTTTTATTTATTTATTAACAGATAGGTATACCCTTTACTAATAAAAATTAAAAGTACAGCAAGTTGAATCTCAATTTGACAAATATTATACTGAAATTAAATAATATTATAATATTATAAATGAGTTAATATTTTTAAAATTAATCTTATTCCTGTTTATGAATCCTTACATCTTAAATGATTTTTTAACTAAAGTATTAATATGTAATTATATACTACAATTATCAATTTTATAATAAAAGACAATAGACATAACTAATAAAATTATCTAGATGAAAAAAAGTAATAGGTAACACCGCAACTATTTATATCTAGTGGGAGGTAATTTTGTTAGGTAACTATTATATAAGTAACACATTTTTTTAGATTTTACTGTAAAATTAGAGTATCATTTAATAATTACTGCCTACTGGAGTGAATTTAAAGTTAAGATTATTATCTAGGAAATATCATAGGATTTTATATTATATTTTAATTTTAAAGCTAGTTATGAGTATATTTATTATTTTATGATGTACAATTATATATACACATAAGTATTTGCTTTGTGGATTTTGGATTTTATTCAATAGTGTAGTTAGGTATAGCTTTGGGGTTATTATTCCGGGGATTTTTTTTCCGATTACCCTAATATGTAATACCCCTAAAATCCTTTAAACAATTAAGTAAACATCCAAAACCCATTAAACCAAAATTATTTTTTTCCAAAACCAGAATTAACCGGAACTCAAATAATTTTTATTTTACAAATTTGTAATTAGTTATTTAATAACAGGCTCAATATTATGCTGGTTTATATTTACATCATGTGTCTGTTCGCTCTTTTAATACATTTTTTTTAGAATTTTTTACAACTGCTAGACACCTGTATTAACCCATATTAATCTGAATAGTAACGGTTATTAATGCTTAAACATTTGTTTAAACTATTTATTTTGGTGTTTGTACATAAAACACTCAAAACTCAAACAAATTATATAAGTCCATAGCCCTGCTTATTAGTTATTACTTATTACTTAGTAGCATTTTAATTTGTCCTATAAAACACTAAAAAGAATTGTCCAATATTTTATATTAATTGAGAATTTTTTTTTTTGATAAAATATGGGAATATTATTTTATTTATTGAAATATTAAATAAATCAAGTATTTTTTTAATTTGGATAGAAAGCATAACTGTAATAATTTACATATAATAAAGCATGGTTCTTAGCCTTAAGAGATGCGCAACACTGCTTTTGAAAAATAATACTGCCTGATGCATATTATCCCTCATGTGCTGTTGTGTTCAATTCAGGCTAACATATTTTATAAACCATACATTTAGACTGGATAGAGCACATTCAACATAATATACATATTTCCAAATAACTACAATTCTAATCATAGAATTTCATAATTTCATATACATTAAAGAAAAAACAAAAATAAATTCTATTATTTATTTTGTATTCTCAGTTTCTCATATTATAATTAAGAGCTCGCTACATCCGGATTCATCTCTCTGTTTTACAAATGCATAACATAGCAAACAGTTGTGATAGTGATCAGCAGATCACATTTATCTCTGTTAGTTCAAAAATTAGAGTGAATTGACCTCTTTTAATTTTAGAAGTAAGAATATTATCTAGTGAACCTTGTACGATTTTTGTTATATTTTAATTTTAAAGCAAGTTATGAGGAATTTAAAATTGTAAATTGTTTGTACATTATAAAATACTCACGACTTGCTTTAAAATTAAAATATATAAATAACCCTACAAGGTTCTTTGAGGTTCACTAGATAATAATCTTACCTTTACATTTTATAAGAAGTCAATTCACTCTAATTTTTAAACTAACAGTGCTGAACGTGATCTACTGAGCGTACAATTTGCTATGTTATGATTTTGTAAGACAGAGAGAACACATGTGGGTGTGTACCCCCCCCCCCCTTAAATAAATATATTATATGAAAATAACTATTAAAACTATCAGTTACTAATTATCCAAATAGTTTTTAAAATGTTAGTATGAAACAAATTTATATATATATATATATATATATATATATATAATATATACATATATTACTTATTTTTTAAGATAATGAGAGTGCTTTAATGATGAGTTAAATATATTATTATTAAATGTACATTTAACTGTTTAGGTTCGTGTAAAATGTCTTGTTTGCATTGGTAAATTAATTGAATATTTAGATAGATGGCTAGTACTTGACGATATTATTCCATTTTTACCTCAAATACCTTCCAAGGATCCAGCTGTGATTATGGGCATTTTAGGTAATTATTATTATTATTATTTTGTTCTATTAAAGAGTAATTTGATTTTGGCATACTTAGGTGTATATAGGATTATTCTTTCTCACAAAAAAATGTATATTACAAAAGAAACTATGGCCCTCAGTATTTTACCTTTTTTAATACCAATGTGTATTGAGAATACACTAACGCTGAATCAGTTCAATGTTTTAATATCAATTGTGAAAGAAATGATTAATAGCGTTGAAACTGATCATCGTGCTAAATTACAACAACTAAATGAACAGCACAGGTACATACAAATTTAAACTATATTGTTTTTTTTTTTTTTTAAATACATATTTATATTGTGTATTATCAATAAATATTAATAAATAATAACCCATCACATTTTGCAGATCAATTTCAAATAGTTTAACTTTAGAAAATGGAACAACAACAAAGCCAAATGGTTTGACAAATGAATTTCAATTTGAAAGTTATGTTGAAAAATCTTCAATTCCAATATCTGGTTCCAATGAAATAACAAATAATTTATCTTCCAACAATGACAGATCAAAGTATATTTACAATTTATATTTTATTTTATTATTAATTTTACCATTTTTACATAATCTATAAACAACAGATTTAGAGAGAGGAACTGTTGATTTGGTAATAATATTTTTTTATTTTGTTCAGTTGAAATTTGTAGTTATTGTTATTGTACTCCGAAGAGGCACATACATTGATTAAAAAATATTAATAATATATTTAGTAATAGATACAGTTTAATACATTTTACAAAAATTATAATTTTATTATAATATTTTCAACAAACAGCTAAATTAACAAAAAAATTAACTAATTCAGTTTGCCATTAGTTATGTTATAATCTGTTTATTTTTCATACCAAATCAAATGTATAAAATTTGTTTGAACATTTAACCGATAAAATCAAAATTTCTACCAAATTTGATGAAGAACTTTAAAAAAATTAAATAGAACTATAGTTAGAGTGAATATAATATTTTTTTTGTGTTTTCCGTCATTATTTTATCCAATCAATATTTTTTAAAAGTTAGGTTTAGTTTGATAAACAATTTGAATAGTTTTGCATTTGCTGGATTTGAATCCAAATAAAAATAGCTATTATGTGTCTTATTTAGCTTGTTTAGTTTGGTTAGATTGAAGTTTGTTAATTTTTTTAAAACTTTTTTCTTCAAAATTAGGGTTTGTTCACCATTACTTATTTTCAATATAAACCTTCTGCTATAGCTAAAATTGAGTTTAGATTATAAGAATTTGAATTAGGTCTAAATTTTTCAAGATTTCAGATTTCCAGAAGTTTATAGTAAAAAAAATTAAATTAAAAATAGTTTACATTGAAAAATTGTGTACCAAAAGTATATTCCTGTTCAATGGTCAAAAGATTACCATAATTAATTTTTTGTGCTATTTAATTCATTCTAGGACAAACAAATCTCAAGATGTACCATTCCGTACATTTCAGCAAGACGTTACCCTTACTCCAAGTGTAGAGAAACTCAATAAAAATAATCCAGTACCCAAGGATCTCACTTCATCTCTAATTGATTCAAATATAAATCAAATAAGTTGGTTAAATCAGATGAAACCTACCACAAGTTCATTATCTCAATCAAAATCATTGGGATTTGAAAATAAATCAACGAGTCTTCAAGGTAGACTTTCAGGATTTGAAAACAATTCAGTTAACCCACAAACTAAACCAATGTCCCTTCATAATTCAGCAAATAACTGGAATGACTTATGGATAAAACAAGAAGAAACTCAGCCACAAGTTAAACAGTTGTCTTTATCTGATATAAATGATTTATTGAGCTGAGAAATTACTTAATCCACTAAACAGTAAATGTTACCTAACTTACTTATTGACTTTATTCAAGTATTTTATATTTTAAATTTCAGTCATTATATTTATTTTTGGGAATTGCTTCTTTGATTCCTTAATTATTAATTTTATTGTCATATTAAATTCAGACAAACCAGATTACATTTAAATCAAATCTTAATTTTCTATTAATCAATTAAAATTAATTTATTAATATCCATCTAGTTAAATGCATTCAAAAGCCAAAACCAACATTTGGCATAGAAAAAAAAATAGAAAAACCTAAAATGTTTAACAACAGTATTATTTTAAATTAAAACAAATCCATATTTGCATTAAATTGCAAAATTGAAATAATTAAAATACTAGAAATAATAGATCCACTATTAATATTATTTATTTATTAACAAATTGTGTAAGAGTAAAACAAGTAACAAATATATATTGGTTAGGAAATGTGTTATTTATTCTTTCATTTTTAATATTATATTAATTAATTTTTACTAAGCGATAAGCACTAAGAAATAATTACGACTGATATTCAAATACATTTATTGTGATTTAATTGTAATACCATGTCAAAGTTACTCCAGTGGGAGGGATTCTTTATTCTGGGAAACTTGTCTTTTTAAAAATGTAATTTTCTATCACTTATTGTTCTGATATATATGTAACAGGCTGTGTAATATAAAATTTAAAATTAAAAAAAGCTGTAATTAAATTTTAACTAGCAACATAAATATGAATTACAACATATTTAAAACTAACTTATTAGATAAAGAAAAATAAATTTTAGTTTTCTTGCTAAATTTTTATACTTTGATCCTTCAAAGATGGATAGATGCTAACTAGCAGTCACAGACATAAAATACGTTTTATATCCATGGTACTAACTGAATCTCTTCTCTTAGTTTATAATATACAATTTATTGTAATACATATTTATAATTTTTAATTTAGACTAGAAATCAGAGTCTGTTACTTATGTTGAACAATATTATTCTTTATTTATAATATTGTATACAATAATGACAAGAAATACATAATGAAGAGACCTCCCACTTTCCAGTGTAGGTACTTTTGTGTAAAATAATTATACACTTATACAATATACAAACTATATATGTAATTATATTTATAAATTTATAATAGATTACCCACTATTTCTTTTTAATATTATTATTATATATTTATAGACAAGCAGTTTGCAACACCATTTTCTTTGTATTATTACGACAGTAAAAATAAACAAATTAATAATATTTTTAATCTATGTGCATGGTGCATCTCATGATAGGTGTGAGAATACAAAACAATTTGATACACAATTTTTTTTATAATCAGGGGTGAAATGAGGTATGGGGAATGGGATAAACCTCCCCAAAACATATAGTTTTTTAGTTGTGAAGAATCAAACATGAGGCGGGGGTTACATTGATGTTAAAAATGTTAGTCCCACACTCCGCCCTGAAATTTTAATGGATTTTCGCTCTTGTTTATACTACTGATGATTAATAATGATACTTAGTAATATAGTGATCTACCATTTACATTGAGCAAAACGTTTTATACAATTTAATTTAAAACATATTAATTATAGATAATGTGTTGCTTGATTAAATTTAATACTTCCGTTATTATTCCCACACTGCTTTTCAAATATTACAATAGCCAGTCGCCACATAGACACATATATGGTATAATAATTGTATTATTATTTTAAAATTATGATTTATGTTTCTAGCTTCTACAATTTTTTTTCTACAGTATTGAATCCCGGTGAAATTATTGAAATAATATTGTATTGATAAAAAATATAATATAATGATAAATAAAAATGTAATTTTGTATAATTTGTTTTTATTTTATTTCACTTAGGTATACAAAACATATATCGTCAATAAATAGCGAATGGAGTAACTATTGGGTTAATGAATTATGATGTGTGAAGAAGTGAGGGGTAGGGTTAGTGCCTTAATGGGTCAGGTAGGTTTGAACCACGAATTAAGATATAGAACCCATAACCAGGTATAATAATATCATACCGCTAGCGTCTGTTAATTGATATTTTTTGAATTATCGTTTTCACACGAAACCAATTTAATACAAAATATACACACAATATTATAATAGGTACCTACCTGCCTATATGTACTTAACGACGATAGTCTGTCGTGTAGACGTTTTACGTTGAATAAAAATGACATCGGCCAGAAACGGCTTTACACGTATCCGGATCGGCCATTTTGTTTTTATTCATAATCAACCATAGGTTATAATATTACACCTGCACAATAGCGCCGCCGTAGTCCCGTCTGAGACGAATTTAGGTGTGTAGTTTTTTATACATAATATACTTGCTTTCGACAACTGCCATGCGTGCTCTTGATATACCCAAAGGGTAGTTTTTCATATCCGTCAATAGTGATTATCTGATGTACCATCTGATTATTGAGCCGAAATCATAAAAATCCCACCCCGGGCTATGTATAGGTACGCACCCAACAGGCACTATATAATATACTATATTGTTATTGCTTCCGAATATGTATTTTGTTTTTTATATCCTTTCTCAACAGATGTTTTTTTTGTTTTTTTCGTTTACCATTATAATGTCATTGGTTGTGTTATATTTTACCGGCGTGGAATTTCCAAATAAATTATAAAAACATTTTACCTTTCAGCAGGTACATCAATTTTCTTCTAGTTAACCCCGACGATTATCGTTGTCTTCGGTTTACCCTTTCGGCTGTAAACGAGTTGTGTCCCAAATCCTGAATTGCGTCCCTATGTTTTTTTCGGGTTACACGAATTGTGTCCCTCAGTTTTGTTCGGGTTACACGAATTGTCTCCCCCAGTTTTTTTCGGATTACACACAAGTTTGGTCTAACTAATATTATAATAAAAAGCAAAAATAACTACACAAATAATTTTAATAATATTTCATATAAGGCAAACACTTAGATAAAACAATTTTTATAAATTCACATTGAGTAATTTTTTTATTAAAATATTAAAAGTAGGTAAGTTAGGTATATCTTATATAAAATTATATTTAACACGAAAAATGAGTATAAAAACGTCATATTATTATAGTACAAATTTTAATCCAACAATAATTTATGTTGTTTCGTCTAATTGATAAAATATAAATAAAAAGCAAAAATAACTACATTAATAGTTTTTATAAAATTACATACTAGGCAAAAATTTAAATGATACCGTTTTTATAAATTTGAATTTTATTACTGAATTTTATTCAGTGCCTAAATATCTTATAAAATATATGTTGGTATATTTTATACAACATTGAAATGGAAAAATTTATCGAATCGAATTTATAAAAACTTTTATTTCAATTAACGAAATAGCATATTTTTAAACTTCAAAAAACAGTTAGAATACAATTCGTGTTATCGGGACACAACTCGTGTACCCCATTTTTACGATTGGGACACAACTCGTGTACCCCACTTTTATCATTGGGACACAACTCGTGTACGAGAAATTTGGTCGGGACACAACTCGTTAACTGCGACCCTTTCGACAAATTCGTAACCAAAAAAAAAAAAAACTATCGACACACGCCATGGGCAATTTACACTAACAAGTACACACAGTGGCGTATTTACGGGGGGGGGTCCCCGGGTCTCGAGCCCCCCCAGAAACAAATTTAAAAATTCATAAATAACCTGGTACGTAGGTATCGAGAAAGAGAAAATTAATTTTATATTATGGGTTTTTAATGTTTCTATTATAAAAAAAAAAAAAATACAATATTTAATATAATATATAATTATTATACATAATAACTCGTATGTGTTTTTTTTTATATTATAAACTTGTAGGTACCTAATATTTAGACCCCCCCCACAAAAAATTTGAAAATACGCCACTGAGTACACATAATACCTATATGCATAATTAATATTCATAGGCGTGCGCAGACTTAAATTTCTGGTCTAGCCTAGACAATTATAGTGCCCTAATATTTGGACTGCGCCCCTAATTTTTTTTTAACACACCAACATACATGTTGATAATATATTAACCTATTAATGTCTATAGTACTATAGTTATTGTATTTGCACCTATAAAGGTATAATATTTTTTTTTAGATTAATAAAATGTATGAATTGGTTAGGTTAGGTAGGTACACACAAATATTTTTGATTTTTTTATACTTTCAGGACAAACAAAATTTTCATGATCTCCACGAACATATTATTATAATATAAGCATTATAATAAAATATTTAAATATATACGCACATTTTACTATGCCCCTAAAAAGTTTCAGGTCGAGCCTGGGCTTGACCGGCTCGCCCCGTGCGCATGCCTATGTTAATATTATAGTTTCATATATTTTCGTAGCTCGCAACCGCGACCGAACACATAAGGAAATTATATATTTTATTATTCGGATAGTAATAGATGATGACGTAATTACATTATTCGATCTCCTTAAACTAGACAGCTGCAATGTAGTTGTCTCTCGGTGTGAATGATGTTCCCACTGTTAGCTGTGAGAACCATAAAACACCATCCGAAAGGCGAAAACGTTTTGTGCGCTGACATAAAATCTTTGTTTTTTTTTTCCAATAATGCACGTCCGTAGAAAATCTTCGTAAAACGGTTTCGGCTTCGACGCATGCACTACACCTAATAACATTAAATTGAGTTTCTTGAAAAAAATTTCACATACCTAATGCTCCACGTTTGTCGAGCTTGTATTTTGTACAAATTATAATGATATTAAACTAACGGTGTGCCTTACTAGTTATTATAGTTATACCAGTGGCGTCCGCAGGATTTTTCAATGGGGGGGGGCTTGAAAATTAGTTAAATTTTTATTTTGTCCAGTTTAATAATTTCAGACGTTTATTTGAGGTATTTTAAAATTTTTGTAACTTTTCAACTTTCTGGTAGAAAAAATGCTCTGATCATAAGCTTCGATGCGCAGTGTATGTTTTTGGAAGCAAATTGGATCTAGTT